TTCACCAATGAAGCTCATGGGAGGTCAAATTTTGCCATAACTCACTCTCTCCTCTGTAACTGATTTCACTGACACAGGGTTGAGGAGGAGGAGGAAAATCCAATGTGTTTGCCTGGAAGCCCTCAGGGCCTCCAGCGCTGGAGGTGTACAGCAGGTTGCTGGATTCTCATTTATCAGCCTTAAGAGGGATGGAGTGATAAATGCATAACCGTCCCTTTAATATTTTATGCAGGTGCTAACGCGGCTTGGCTGTCACCTTCAATGCATCACCCGAGGCAGAGAGCTCCCTCGTCACTCCTAGCTTGCAGCTTCACAATTCCATTTCCCCACCCAAACACATCCATTTAATATGCGCCTCACAGGCAGGCAGCCGGGTCACAAAGGAGCCCAACCAGCAGCAGTTCCCACGACTTAGCGCAGATGACCAGCCACCAGCCCTGACCACAACACTGCCTATGCGCTGGCTGCATGTACCTCGGAAGCCACCTTCCAGCAGAGTAGTGGCCCGTATCCGTTTCTGCCCACACCACTCATATTCCTCAAAGCGATTGTTGTTCTCATGCTCGATGTCCACAGCATCCTCCTCAGCCATGCAGGAGCCTTCCCTCTGTGAAGAGCAGAGCAGGATCATGTTGGGCCCAGGCCATCCCTACTGCTCCACAGAGCCTGCAAGGAGGGAGGGCACAACCCCAGTCCCTGCTGCAACATGTTAGATGGGGCCCCACTCCTCTATTGTAAAAGAAATCTAGAGATCAAAGACCTAGGCCTTGTCCCAATAATTTACCACTGGAGCCCATGGGGGGAGTGAGTTAAAGCAAAAGAAGAAAGCAAGGAACAGAGGAGAAGCTGCTGAGACCACATGAAGACCCCAAGAGCCCACAGATTTGAGGACAGTGGCAGTCGCTGTCAGAGGAAGAGTAGGGAAGGAAGAAGATAGGTGGCAATGGCCCCTCTACCTTAGAAAGGCAATGCTCCACATGCCTACTCATCGCCTGTTCCGATCCTGCCAGGGGGCGGTTGCACAGGGGACATACCTGCCCTTCATCTTGCTTCCTCCGTTTCATTTTCCCAATCCGAGCTGCATGGGGGATCAAAAACAAAGCACAGAATAAGCAGCAGACTGGCACCATAGTCAGCAGGGTCCCAGTCTGGGACCGTAGTGCTGGGTCCCAGTGGAGTGGACACAGCCAGTCCTGCACCAGTTTTTTTTTTTTTTTTTTTTTTTTTTTGGTACCGAGGATTGAACTCACAAATTCGCGTCTGCCAAGCAGGCACTTATGCCGCTGAGCTAAACCCCTGGCCTTGCCACCAGTTCTTTTGTTCAATGCCCATTCTGGCCCTTGTTTTGCTATGCCTCCTGCTCTTTGGGAACCAGGGCTTGCCAAGAGCACTCGAAGAGGAGACCAGTGCTGGGTGGGGAAAGTATCTATTCTTTGGCCACAGTTGGCTCAAGCTCAACTTACAACTATTTGCAGTGCTCAATGAACCCAACAGGCAAAGATGCTCTTGTTGCTAGGTATCTCCCCAAAGGCCAAGGCCATAGGCTCTTTTGTATCAGGAGATGTAACTCTAGACCTCTCTCAGTTAGAATGCAAGGTCCTTCCTGGGGGGATTCATTAGTTCAAACTGTTTCAGGGGCAAGAGCCTGAGGGTCCCTAGCATTCTACCTAGAATCAGCTAGAAGGAACTTCTCTGATGCCCACTGGTTCCATCTTACAGGAAAGGAAACTGAGGTCCAATCATAAAAGGATGGAAGGTCTGGGTCAGACCTTGCATGGCTGGCTCAGAGGGTCTAGGGCACCTGGAGAGGGCAATCCTTACTGTGCCCACCCAAACCTGTTCCATCACTTCTAATCAGTGCAAAGGGGTGGGCAGGCCCAAGGGACAAGGCTGCCTGCCATGCTGTCCCGCAGGGGGCTCAGTTCCAAAGTGCACACTGCAAGCCCACAGCACTGCTAATTAATGCTGAGAGATGCAATCATTTCTAATTAGTTCACTAATCCCTCTCTGCAGCCCTCCTGTCACTGAAGCAGGAAAGGGTCAAAGCATGGGACTGTGTTCCCTCCAGTTCCTCTCAGGATACAATAGCATGACCAGAGATGTCCACTCTGGGTAACTAGTTAAAAGGGGAGGAGAAAGAACCTACCAAAGAGGAAAGGTTTTTCCACTGCAGGGTGCTGTCTTGATGAGAAACTCACGAAGACAACAGAGGGGAACACAGGTAACAGGTGACATGTTACAATTTAGAGCTTGTACTCTAGGGCTGGCTGAGGGCCAAGTACTTTACACAAGGAAGCTTCTTTACACCTATATCCTGAAATTAAGGTTGCATTTTGCTGTTTTAATAGACAAAGAAACCCCAAGCCTAAAACCATCAAGGCGCTTGTCCAAGTTGCTAACAAGTGGCAAGATAGGAAAGCAGGCCCGAGTCCATAGCCTAGAATACTTTCTTGTCCCAAGAACCTCTTGACTGAGCAGCATCAACAAGACTGATCCCAGGGAGTGTTCAGGGCTCCAACTCATGACTGTTGAGGGAATGAGGCAGTGAGCCTCTTCTACTCCAGAAAAACAGTAGACCCAGAATGACCCACAACACAAAGAAAGTCACCAGCCCACTAGAACTGAGCATGAAGTGTGGGAAACCCTGCCTATGGCCCAGTCCACCTCTTCAGTGTTCCATGTTTTTACTAGAAAGATGTGACCATATTCTAGGGCCCCACTGACTTTGTGCTCTGACAAGCCAAGACCCAAATGCTTTGCTTTGCCTGACCTAACCCTTGGAATCAGATGCTCAGGCTGCCTTAACACTTTAGTGCCAGGGCTGAGATGGAGAAGGGATAGGCATCAGAATTGAGTGAGGCCTCCTCAATGTTCTGGAAGCCTAGTATGGAGCAGTGTGTCAACACCAAGGGTCCTCATCTATCTTGCCTAGAATGAGGGAAGGGCTTTCTGGGTAAGAAAGGGCCAACGACAAAATAAAATAAAATAAAATAAAGAAGTAAATCTGAGTTGCCAACAACATAATGATGGATGCTCTCCTGGCCCAGGACATGTAGGCCAACAGATATATCCATTGTAACTGCAGAAAGCTATTTCAATGGACCAGGCTTCGTTTTGAAATTTAGTTTTTTTCTTAGCCAATCACCTTTAAATTGTGAACTAAGCTTACTATAGTTTTGTTTTCTACCTGAGGCTACTTCTGAGTTGGAAGGGTCAAAGCATTTGTCAAAGAAGTAGCAAGGCATGGTAGGAGCATAGGTTTTGGAGGTAAACAAACTTCAGTTCAGTCATGGTTCAGCCATACCCCAGCTGGGCGATTCTGAACCTGAACAAAGCACTTTCACCTCTGCGATTCTCTTTCCTGATTTACAAAATGTGTGTAACATTTTCCTCCCAAAGGTGTCATGAGAATGGTGCTTAACACGGTGCCAACCCATGATCAATGCTCTTTTCTAGACTGGGGTTGAATCTGGCAGTAGTGACCAATGGGAAGACATGGGGAATCTTGAATGTCCATCACCTCACTCCCTCACCAGCTGGCCCAGAGACCCCAAGACTGCCAACCCCCACATACATCACATCCCAGTCTGCACAAAAAGCAAGGATCATTCAATTGTGTTGAGCAAACAGGAATACGCCAAAGGTTTGAATCCAAAAGGGGGGCGCCAGGTAGTAATACACGGTCTGCTTTCAGAGAAGCCCCCTAAGCGCTGTCGAGCCCACGCTGATCACCTTTGTGTAATGTGGGCCGACTGATAACTCAAAGAGCCCTGGGATGAGTTAGTTCCTGTTGCCGTGGGAACTCCAGATCTCACTGTATTGTCAAGTCTCAGTAGAGAGGCTGTATTCATACTACTGGGCACTGATTAAAAACTGGGAGAAAAACATTCTCAGCGCCCTGCCGGCTTGTATAGTGAGGTCCCAGCAGTTTGCAAATTCAAAGCAGAGCTCCAAGTAGAATTGTGTAGCTTGTTCCTCATTCTCTGGCATTTATTGCCCCTCAGGGTTCTTCAGGGGCTTTGCACAGGATTGGGCACTGAAGTGGGAACCATAACCTCCATTAAACAGACGGAGAAACTGAGAGCGGCAGCCTTGGTTCGGGTGCATACTCAGGCACTGTGACTGCGAAGAAGCCAGGGGGCCCCAAAGTCGAAGAGACCCAGGCAAACCAGGAGCCGCGGGCAGCGAGGGAGGGAGGAGGCCGGAGGTGGGGCGGAGGGAGGGGCCGGGCAGAACTCACCATTCAGTCGGGTCTGCCTGTTGGCTCGCACTCGCAGGAAGGTCTGGAAGATCCCCGGCAGATACAAAAAGAGAACAGAGTGTCAGGCGCAGCCTGGAGACTTGGCCCCCGCCCCAGCACTCGACCCCAGTCCAGACCTGCCCCGCCCCAAACAGCCCATAAACAAACCTACTTCCTCCCTCCCGCCGGCCTCCCTGCTCCGCCGGCCGCTCCGGGCCCTCGGCATAGCCGCCGGGGCTGCTCTAACGGGACCCCGTGGCCGCCGCGCGGTGCAGCCCCAGCCCCAGCCTCCGGTGCTCCAGGCCCCGTGGCGGCCTGGCCAGTGAGGGCGACGATGCAGGCGGATTCCTCCCGGCTGCCCGGCGGCGGCGGCACCTCAGCTCCCAGCAGCGGCGGCGGCCATGTTGGGCCTGATCACATGACCTACCGCGGGCGCGCGCTAGAGGTGAAAGTTCACAATAAGGGGGCGGGAGACCGCTCGCACACCTAGAGCAGCCATTCGGGGCCGCCCCAGGGTCCCTCTTACAGCCCCTAAATCCTATCCGTTTGTGCTTTAGCTGCCGCGAGGCCCTTCATCCCGCCTCCCGCCGCTTCCCACTGCTGGGCTTCTTCCGCTCGGGAGCCTGGCTGCGGGCCCCGCCTCCCGCGCGGGTGCTCTAGGGCAGAAGCTCTGAGGTGGTTCTAGGACTAGAAGGTTCCCTGTCTGTATCCGGTTGTCCACCGGTTGTCTCACATTGTGCTGCCTACTTTGGCCCCCCAGCCCATCGCAGTCGGGTTGTTACAGGACTCCCAAAATTTCACAGCTGGATATTGTCTGGAGCTCCCACTGCCATTGCAAGTCTCTAAAGCCAACTCTGAGCTCACCGCCCCAGGCCCCTTTCTCCTGGGTTCTGATTTCCTAAGGGGATGCCAACATCTACTGAGCTCACACAGTTGAGATCGCCCTTGACCTCACTTTCTCCTTCATTCCTCACAATCAGTCCTTTCCCTAAAATCTACCTTTAAAGTTCTCTTAAATTTTCTTGCCTCCATCCTCTTATGTATCTCCTACTCATCCTCCTTTCAGGCCTGACTAAAGCTTTGCTTTCTTTCCCATAAGAGTACTTTCGTGTCTACACAGCTTGCATACATTTTTAACACTGGGCTGACCACACCAGGGTTGATGCCTTATGAGAGTCACTGGGATGAATTTAGAGCTCACTGTGGCACTTGGCACAGGCAAGACACCACTGTGTGTTGCTTCAATGACTATCCCTATTTGTCACTACTCTGGTGCGTAACCTTACTAGCTTTCAATTTGCAGCAGCCTCCCAGCTCATCTTTTGGTCTCCTGTTTCTCTGCAACGCATCTTTCACATTTCACACAGAGTATTTCTTTTGTGCAAAATTAATCCGGTATCCCCTTCAGTGATTTTCCATGTGGAAGATGTAGAAGACATAGAGAGAGACCTGCAAGGTAAGGTACAGGCCCTGCCCTGCTTGCTTCTCTGGACTTTTTTTTTGTTTTCTTTGAGGCAGGGTCTCTCTATGCAGTTCAGTTTGACCTTGAGCTCAGTTTGTAGCCCAGGCTGTCTCGAACATGTAGCCATTCTCCTGCCTCTGCCTCTTAGACTCCTTCATTCTTCACAATCAATCCTTAATTCCCTAGAATCTACCTTTAAAGGTCTCTTTAAAAAAGACAAAAAAAATTTTTTTTTTTTTTTTTGTCTTTTTCCTTTTTATCGGTACCGGGGATTGAACTCATGACTGCCTGCTTGCAAGGCAGGCGCTTATGCCGCTTGAGCTAAATCCCCAGCCCTAAGACAAAAAAATTTTTAAAAAATACAAATAAAGATCTCTTAAATTTTCTTACCTCCACCCTCTTATGTATCTCCTACTCATCTTCCTTCCAGGCCTGACTAAAGCATTGCTTTCCCATAAGAGTTCTTTTCATGTCTACATAGCTTTTATAAACCTGTTCCCTGACTCTCACCATCCAATTTCTTCCCTTCACACACTCTTCTTGTCACTCAAGTTTACAAAGCTACCTGTAGCTCTTTGATACCTCCTTACTCTCTCTGTGCTCTGGTATCCCTTGTGTGGTTAACTGTTGTTTATCTTCAGAACTCTGGCAAGGCTTCATTTTATTTTATTTTTCCCTCTCCAAGGCTGGATTTGTTACCTCCTGCCAGTTTTCACAGTTCCTTGGTGTCGGTCTGATCATGTGTATTTTCATTGTTTACATATCTGTCTCTCTGCATGAGTAGTCATCTCGACCTAGTCACTGAACACAGGGTCTAATGTGAAGAAGCTATCAGGGGAGAAGGACATTATGAGGTAATCCCTGAGCCCAGTGGTTAGGAGAGTTAGGAGGTGGTAAAACCTTTAAAAGGTGAGTCCCTGTGGGAGGTCTTCAGGTCATGGGGGCATGCCCTCAAAGACATTGTGGAATTCCAGTCTCTTGCTCTTTTTCTTTTTTTGCTTTCTAGGCATGAAGTGAATGATTTTGTTCCACTATGTGTTCTGCCATGATGTGCTGCCACATGTGGCCGACCAATCATAGACTGACATTTCTAAAACTGTGAGCCAAGATAAATTTTTTCTCTATGAATTGTCTCAGATATTTGTTACAGTAATGTAAAGCTGACTAACACAGAAACAATCTAGGATTCATAGCCTGACAGATTCAAGTTCAAATTTTGACTTTTTCATAATTTATGTTTTTATTTTATTTATTTAGTCTTTTTGAAACAGGATTTCACTATGCATCATAGGGTGGCCTTGAACTCACTTTGTAGCCAAGGCTGGTCTGAAACTCACTGCCGTTCTCCTGTATCAGCCTCCTAAGTGCCGGGATTATAGGCATGTGCCACCAGAGCCAGTTTGGAATGACTTCTCTAAAGACATAAATGATAGCTGGGCATGGCGATGCACACCTGTAATCCCAGCACTCAGGAGGCTGAGGCAGGAGGATTGTAAGATCGAAGCTATCCTGGGTTATATACCTAGACCCAGTCTCTCAAAACACAAGCATATGTAAAGTCATGTCTCCTCTCTAGGCTTGTCCCCTTAGAAGTAAACAACAGCCAATAAATCCTAGCTTGTGCAGTTGGTGTGAGGGTAAAGTGAGGTAATGGTTGACACTCAGCAGAGGCTGTTATGTACAGTAAATGGAAATCCAAACCAGAAACCAGTATCCACTGCTTTTAACGCCTAGGTTAACAATTAAATCCAACACAACTACAAACTGCTACTTGCCAGGCTTTGTGTGAAGAGCTAGATACCTCTTTAGTTCCTAGGTTACTTTTCAGCTTCACTTCCCACCAACTCCCTTTTCTTACAGCATACCCAGGGAGTGGGTGGCATTAATTCAGTGAGCAGTCTCCTTTCCAACAAAACTGAGCTGCTGACAGGTCTCCAAAAACACCACCCCATATTATAACTCTATGTCCTTTGCACATAGTATTGCCTTTAAGAAATACCCTTCCTTCCTGGTTATTCAAGTGAACTATTCCTCCTCTGAAACCCTGTTTAGTTATTACTTCTTATGTGAAGCTTGCTGATTTCCCTTTCCTTCCACATTTTATGAAATGTATTTATGTGCTTGTCATAGCACTTAGAATGCTGTGCTGTAAGTATCTATCTGCCAGTCTAGCCCCTTGAAGGCAAGGACACAGGACTGAGCCTGAATGGTACTAGATAAATGTTTGAGTAAGGGAAGGATAGGACAAGGTCTTTGCCTTGGAGGAACTCCAAGTCCAGTGCAGAGTCAGATTCATTGTGATAGATTAAATGTGGCCACAGTTCTTTGCTTCTCTTCTCAAGAGCTGCATTTCTTCATCCCTTGATTAAGGGCTACTTTTGTGACTTGCTTTGCCTAATAAAAGGAGGTGGAAGTGATATTTTATGAGTTACAGCTTTTAATGTCAAGAAGCCCTGCAGCTTTGGTCTTCACCCTCTTTCTTGGTGGGACACTTCTGAGTGACTACGAAGTAAAGAAGTTGAGAGGCCACATGAAAGAGAATCAGGGCCAACCTCCCAGACACGTGAAGAGGACACTGGAACTTTCCAGCCCAGCCATGCCTTGGAGGAATTAGCTGCATTAAGCGAAGAAATGCCCAGTCAACCCACAGAATCATAAGAAATGATAACTTGTGTTAAACCAACAAATTTAAGGATATAAAACAGAACCATATCTTAACAAGTGATCATGATATATGTAGGGTGTCAGGGCAATAACGGGCTTACAAGGGTCTTGAGAAGAGAGAGCTAATCTATAAACTCTTCTTAGAGAAGATGGCATTGGGGATGTTGAAAGGTAAATAAAGATTTGGTGCAGCGGGCTGAAGTAATACTGTTAGAAGTAGCAGCTCGTGTAAAGATAAGGAGACAAGAGGAAAGGCACATTCAGGGAGTGGACAGTATTAATTTAGTGAGCTTAGACCATGGGATTCAAGAAGGGCAGAATCAGGAATGGAAGCTGGAAATATAGGTTACATCTAAACCCCAGAAGGCCTTGGTACCATGCAAAAGAACTTGAACTTTGTATTATAGGAGATCAATCTGATTTGTCCTTTAAGAAGTGTTCTTAGAGTCTAGAACAGGGTTTTGGTTCTTAACTTGGGCTCCAAGGAGGGCACTCAGACCTCTAGAGGCTTCCTCATCTCTCAGAATTAGCTGTTTGCAAAATGCTGCATGTGAATGTGTGTGTGTGTGTGTGTGTGTGTGTACACGCACACATGTGCATATGATCATGTGTGTTTACTTTTAAAAGCCTCTTGCATAAACCCTTGCTTTCCTCATATATTGTAGAGAACAAAAGAAACATCAACATTTTGGGTGTAGGAATGGGCAGCCTAGGAAAATAGGCGATTTTTGTTTGGTAATTTCTGTTTTTCTACTTGAGCACACAGCTAGGCTGATGCTGTGAGTGGAGTAAGGAGGCAGGGCCTCGGCCTATCTTTGGAGCAGAACTCTCCAGGACACAGGTTTGTCTCCCTGAGACTAGAATTCATTAGAATTAGGTCATTTCTCTACCTGGAATCAGGGTTGTGTGGAGCAGGTCAGTGTCTCTCACTAACTGGGCTGTCACTCTTAAAACTGAGTCCATGATAGCAAGAATCTCTCCAAGTCTGGCACTTGGGCCATGTAGTTTGAGCCCCATCCATCAAAAGAGATGCCAGCCTACCCTTGGCATTCCCTCTCTGCATCCTGTGACAGGCTGTGACAGCTGGGAAGAAGGGGTGCCTGAGTGGACACCTTTCTCTAGTTCCAAGCAAGACCTTCCGTGTGCCAGCAGAGACCCTGGCTGTCTACCCCAGCTTATTGGTCCCTGCTGTTCTGCCTTTTCAATCAGACCAGGGCTGTTTTTCCTTTGCACATCGGGCGCCCTGGCAAGCCCTGTTGCCATTTCAACAAATGTTCCTTGGAGCAGGGCCACGTATTCTTACATCTGATGGGGTACTCAAAGGCCAGACTCTACCTTTCTTCAGATAAAAGCTTCCAGAGAGAGGAAGCTTGTTTTCTCCTTCTGATTACAAAGAAGGTTCATCTATAGCTTGGTTGTTCATCTATAGCTTAGTTGTAACCTTAGGCTCCCTTAGTACTCTGCTGTTGTGTGATTATTGCCTTCCATTTGCCCAAGACACCCACAGGTGATGTCTGCCTCTTTTTCTACCTAGGCCTGGTACCAAGATTTGGCAGAATTGAATGGTTATTTACTCTAGGGATCCTGCTTTCAAAGTCTGAAATCTTCAGTAATTCTGGGCTTTTTTCTTTGGATCTTCATAAAGCAAAGTCACACAAGAAGATGGATGCATGCTTCAGAGATGCTCAGAGCTCAGCAGAGCCCAGGGAACTTTGGTGACTCTCCCTAAAATTCATCTACTTTAGGTCCATTCACTTAGGGGCCCCACAAAGACACAGAGAAAACAAAATGTAGGGTAGGACAGAATTGGCATTCCTGAATGCCACAGCAGTCCCACCCCAGAGAACTCACTTCTCTTGGCCACCAGCCACCCTCTCCTCACCTGGTATCTGTCTGAGTGGTGCAGGTCATCAGTGGCAGATGAGTGTGGTGACGCTGTAGGAGACTCTCCCTCCCTCTTGATGGAAGCAGACAATAGGAGGGACTGGAAGAAGAAAAAAGACATGAGGCCTCAGACTCAATAATGGTCTGTCCTTTGGACTCCCTAGTCCTTTGGAGCTTGGTGAGTAAGGCAGAGAGACAAAAGGGCACTATGGAGACGCCGAAGGTATGTGGGACTAGGCATGTGGGAGAGGATGGTTGATTTTAGGGCTGGGCAAAGAGCCTCTGAGGAGTCAAAGCCTACTCCACACTTGCTTTGCCTGAGCTCAGCCCCAGTGGGATGTGACTCTCAGTCACTTCCAGTGGGCTCAACTGTACATGCTTCATTCTCTTACAAAACAGACACCTAGGACCCCTGTGAAGGGTTGGGGGAAAGCTGCATACCTGCC